GGTGCGTAAATAAGCAGAGTGTTCGATTTTGGTGGGAAGATAAGCCAGAAGCATTGCAAGAGCTACCAATTCATGCAGAAAAGGTCACAGTTTGGCGCGGTTTATGGGCTGCTCGCATCATTGGACCGTCCTTCTTCAGAGATGATGCGAATCGTAACGTAACTATGAATGGTGAGCGCCACCGTGAGCTGATATCAAACTTTTTTTACCCAAAATTCAAGTGCTTGACTTGCCTGACATGTGGCTTCAACTATACGGCGCTACATGCCACACAACACGCGTAACAGTGGACTTATTGAGAGGTGAGTTTGGTGAACGTTTTATTTCACGTTCGAGACCGGTCAATTGGCTGCCTAGATCGTGCGATTTAACGCCTTTAGACTATTATTTGTGGAGCTATGCTAAATCTAATGTCTACAAAGACAAACCCGCTTCAATTGACGCATTGGAGGACAACATTGAAGCATTTGTTCGTGAGATACCGGCCGAAAGGCTGGAAAGAGTATGGCAAAATTGGACTAAGCAGATGAACCATTTGAGTCACTATCAACATTTGCATGTAATGATCTTCAAAAATTAAATTCTATGGATCGTACTATTGATTCAAATAAAGATTTCAAGCATTTTTCTGAATTTTGTCTCTCTTTTTTATGAAAAACTTTTCTATAGCTTTAAAAAAAAATCACCCTTTACTTATTTGCTTACGTAGCTTTACTCAAAAACAAGAAATTCACCACCTTATTATTATCACTTTTCCACACTTTTAATATTTTTCTATGTATTTTTTTATATTTTCTTCCTTTTACTTCGGACTCTCTGTGGAAAAGTATGTATCCCAAATTCCTCGCCGCACATTAAGCCATTTTTTAGCTTTGTTGTTATAATTTAGTAGTAGTAGTAGTAGTAGTGGTAGTAGTAGTAGTAGTAACAGTTGTTATTGTTATTGTCTGCCTTGCAATCTCATTTGCTTTACTAAAATTTTACCTCTGCGGCGTCTTGTGTATATACTAACATCTGTAAGTACATCTCAGCTGATGCCGCAATGTTGTTGGACTTTTCCAACGTTAATAAAATATAGTATATTTTTTTATTGTGAGGCAAAAACTTGAAAATAATTATATGAAAATAATAATAATAAATATAGTAGCAAATTTTCATTGCATAATTCACCAAAAAATCAATATTTGCATTGACACCTTGTCGGTTATAAAAGTCGTAATAACTAATAAATAACTAACTAACTAACTAGTAAATGACTCGTAAACAAATCTTTATTATTTTACTATTTTTTATTTTATTTTTTTATAAATTTTTTCATTTTATTTTTGTTTTTTTTTTACGTAACAAAATGTTTCACATGAAAATATACACATTTTTTTTTTAATTTAAATCTCGATCCTCAGGGCCTCCAGACTGCTCATCAGCCTAAGCAATACATAGACGGCTTCTGTGATCTGTGTCTCACGTTCCTTAAGTGCGAAAGGATTTCTCGAGATAGCGTTAGAAAGATAATATTTTTTACCAAAAAAGATAACGAAAAAAGTATTGATAACTGAACTGTTTTGTTTGGGCGTCAACTTCTGAATATTTCTTCGATAAAGTTGAAAACGCAAGTCAGACAACTGAAAATAAATGAAATTGTGTATGGTCCTCATAATGTTACAGTCAATCATGCACCATTTCGGTTTTGAAAATCGTTGGAAATCGTCCAGTCCGACCGTCGTTCAAGCACAGCTCCGATTGCCCAAGGCTTAAACATTGCACAAAAAACAGCTCGGATTCAATTGAATAGACTGGGTACACAATGAAGCTCGATGTATCGGTGATCGCATGATAACTGGTAATGAAAAGTGGTTCACTTACAGCAACGTTAACTGAAAATGGTTGTGATAAAAGAGCTGTGAGTCGACACAAGCGGTCTCCAAGCGAGGGTTGTTGGCCAGGAAGATTTCGTTGTGTGTTTGTTGGGATTGCAAAGGAGTCATTTATTATCTGCTGCTCCCCTACGCCAGACCACACCCATCAATAGCGACTCGTCGAAGGCTCTGAGAGCTTTGTTGGAATTATGCATCCACCTTAAAGTCCGGTTCTCGCACCAAGAAGTGATTACCATCTGTTCCTGTTTATGGCGGATGCTTTGGCAGTAAAGAATTGGCCTCAAGAGAAGTCTATGGAAATCTATTCTTCTAATTTTTGCCAATAGATCGCTATTCCCCATACGGTTTCTATGAGAGGGGCATAATGACATAACCTTCAAAATGATAGAAAATGACATAAATTCTTTAATTGATTGTAATAAATAAAATTTTTTGTAATGTAGACACTACATGAGAATTTTAGATATATAATTGGCGCCTTATAACCGCTGAAGCGATTGTCGGCCGAGCTCTTTCTTTAATTTTTGGTGTGCTTCTTCATGTTTTTTTTTTCGACAAATGGTGGAACCTACTTCGACTATTATTCACCACAAATTGTGGAATTTTCAGCACAATATAAGCCAATATAATTCTATACGATATTTGGTATTACCAGAGATGTTTTTAGCTACTGTAACGATTTCCATATCCTTCGTGCTCACCTCACCGAATTCTCCACTGAGTTGCATATGCCAGCAATATATACACCGCTCTTAAATCCGCTTACAAAATGTTCTCGATAACGGACATTCGATATATAAGATAGGTTGCTATGGCTGGGAGGTATGTAAAATGGGTAGTTGCAATATTAGTAGTTAAGAATGGCTCTCTTTTTTCTCACATTCGGTTTTGCATTCTCACCACAATAAAAATTTAATTTAATTTATTTTTGTTTATTTATGTTTTAATTCTATACAAAAATTCTTTTGACTTTAAGTTTTATTTCTATTTGTCAAAGGGTGGCAATTCTATTCTAAATAATTGTTGGCCTTACGTTTTCCCAAAAACCTTTTCGTTGTTAACCAAGTTGTAATGTTTGATGTGAATTAAATTATTGGTCATTGGTTAACTTTTTTCTCAGGATCGTGCTACGAAGGGCACTACTTAGGAGGTAGTAGCTGCTAGAATTATTTCTCATAAAAATGGCGCAGATGCAGAAATTAATCTTATTGTTAAAAAAGGTGGCAATGATTGCGATACTAGCCGAGCTTTATAGATGGAATGTCTATAAAGTGAGTTTTCATGAAGCTAACCTAAAAGTTAAAAAAAAAATGGGCTCTATGTCTTTAGCTTTCTGTGGTCTTCATACTCACATTTGGGATGTGACAAAAAAGTAATGAGACTGATGATATTGCCGCGATTTTGGTTACCCTCCGACCTTGAAATTTCCTTTCGCTTCTCCCGGCATTCTTCTCCTCTTCAATGATATATTTGCCATCGCTCTAGCTTGTTTAGTGCGCCTGCTGTGTCGTGTTGAGTTAACGTGTATTCGTGGTACTCGTCGCGAAAATAGAAAAACGAGTTCAAGAGGAATGCGTTGCGATTAAATTTAGCGCTAAATTGGGCGAAGCAGCTTCGGAAACGTACGCTAAAGTTGTAAAAGTGCACGGTGATAGCGCTCTTAGTCGTACCCAGGGTGTTTCGATGGCATAGAGAGTTTAAGGAGGGGCGTGAAGGCGTGGAAGACGAGGCGCGGAGCGGGCGACCAGTCGATGTGCGGACTGACACGAATGTGCGCAGAATGTGCTTGCTCTAACCCGTGAAGATCGACCTTTTGACAGTTCGAATGTTGGCGCTGGAACTGGGTATGAACCGTTAAATAGTCAGACAAGTTTTAATTGACGATTTTGGAATGAAAAAGTTGTTCGCGAAGACGCGCCGTGCCACACCGCCGTCAGCGTGTCAGAGTATATCTCCTCTAAAGGGATCGCCGTGTTGCAACGACCGCCTTATTCGCCCGTTATGTCACCCGGTGACTTTTTATTGTACCCCAGAAAAAAATCGGTGGTCAAAGGAACCCAGAAAAAAATCGGCCGTGACGAGGGCACTCGCGTATATCCCAGTCGAAGCGTTCCAGAAATGTTAAGAAGCGTTGCCTAAAGGGACTACTTTCAAAGGGATGATAGAGTTGTAGAACAATTTTGAAGTATACGGTTTTTATGGAATCAGTCTCATTACTTAATTGTCATACCTCGTATACGTATCGGAAATGTCCTCAAAAATTGGGTCGGCCGTATGGCGTACTGCAAGGCCAGCCGAGGCAGCTATTTGAACGAACTTGTATTTCATAAGTAACCGGAAGGATTGTACTTTAATATGAAAGAATAAATTTGATGATCGGATGAACCGTTTTTTTTTTTTTTTTTTTTTTTTTTTTTTTTTTTTTTAAAGTTACGTGGCGGACCCTGTATATGTAGATACTTTTTTATGTTTGTATGTATTTACTATGTGATTCGAAGCTCACTGACGATGAGAATGCGAGGAGGATGCTTTGCAGGAAATTAAATACATTTTTTTTGTATTTTTTGTTGCTTTTAAAGTCTTTGATTTATTTTGATTTCCTCTCACATTATTTAAAGTTTTGTATAATTTTTTCATAAGTACATATGTAAAGTTGAAATATGTCAATATATTTATTACATAATTATATTGATTATGAATTTTGTTTTATATATAATGTATGTACATATATACTCATTATTTCTATTATTATATTATAATATATTTCGCATACTATATACATATATGTAAAAGTATTTGTAATAAGGAACTCTTTGAGGAAGTGAACTTTTATTCCAGCCCAGTAAAAGCTCACCACCAAATATTTATAATACTCCATTACATACATATATATGTGTTGCCTAAAATATTATGTAAATTTTAAATATAAATATAAATTTTATTTTTTTTATTTTTTTTTCAATGCGTTCTATAAATTGCATTCTACAATACATATTTACATGTCTCGATTAAAAATTTTACACAATATATTAGTATATACATATGTGTACATAGCTATGTATTAAGGTTATGTTTGTCTGTATGTGTGTACTTGCTGCCATTTTTCATTTTTCAGAGAAACCGTTCAAATATTTAGATACATACATTTATATATATATTCCTCGAATTCCGCGAGAGAGTAGTCCTTGAGAAATTCGCAGCCGATTCATTGTACCAAATTGAGTTCATAGTCTGCTTCTCCATCATCATTGTGGGTTGTATCCACATTAAGTTCGCTCCCTTCATCCCGCGACGCTGCTTTGCTCTCGTCATCTTTGCTAAACAGAACCTTCATGGCTCTATCCACCGGATTACTTTCACCCTCGCCGCCATATTGCTCTGCTTGATGTAAGAGCTTCGCAGCTTCTTTGATCACCTCTTTGGGCAAGGGCGGCTTTGTGCTATTCTCATTGCATTGTTGTTCCAAACTTTTGCCGAAGCGCATGAAATTCGTATCTGATTTGCCGAAACGCATAAAATTTGGCGAAATCGTCGGTTGTGCGAGCGGTGATCTGCCAAAACGCATAAAGTTGTCGGGTCGTCCGAAACGCATAAAGTCTTGATTTGCGGCGCGTCGCTCCTTTTGCGTGCGACCGAAGCGCATAAAGTCGGTTTGGGGTTTACGTCCGAAACGCATAAAATCATTAGAGCCACCGCGTCCGAAACGCATAAAATCCGATGGATTTCTGCCGAAACGCATGAAATCGCCTGAGGCGCGTCCAAAGCGCATAAAGTCATTAGCAGCACGACCGAAGCGCATGAAATTGTCGCCACGTGCATCACGTATACCCTCCTGACTACGCTCGAAGCGTCTATTCGCACCGGCATTCTTATTGTAAATATACTCCTGATCCAGACTATTCACTTGCGGCACCTGCTCGAGTGCACGTTTGCCGAGACGCATGAAATCATTGGCACTGCGCCCGAAACGCATAAAATCTTCAGCGCCGCGACCGAAACGCATAAAGTCCGAGCTGGCGCGTCCGAAACGCATGAAATTCTCATTGAATGACTTGCGGCGACGTTCCTCCTCTTCGTCGGCTTTCGATTTGCGAAATTTCAATACAATCAAATTCTTCGAGTAGTCAACATTCAGTGATGCAATTGGATAGCGAAACTCCACTTCTGTCTGTTTGCGCCCAGTCTTCACATAAGGATAGTCCAGTGGATCCTCCGTAATGCTGCCATTTCTCTCGTCAACTTCATTTTCATTTGAATTACCCTCGCTGGTCTCGGAAATGGTGTTTAGATCTACATTCGGTTCTTCAATGATTTCACTCCGTATTGACGCTTGCAATTGAAGAATGTAGAGGAAGAAAACGAGCAGTGGACCCATTTTGTTGTTGCGCTGCGACTAAAAAGAAAAATATTGTATGTTTATTGTGTGTGTAGGTATGCAAAAGTTAAGGTATGATCCTTAAATCTAAGTCCAGTTTAATGTGGTTTAGTGTGTTTTTATATCAGTTTTGAGCCGCTTGCAGTTCGTCAAGGGACAGTGCAAACTGAGTCAGTGTAAGAGAGGGAAATCAAGTAACTATCACGGATTTGATCTTTCAACGATTACTCTCTTTCATGCACACCGTGACGTTGAGCCATTGAAAACAGAACGAAGCCGCCCTTGGCCATAGAGGTGAGCAAAGATGCAGCGAAAATCTTATACCGATCGAAACAATGATGAGCCCTGCCTGTGGAGACAGCTCCCATTGAGAAAGGTGAACCAGTTTATGAACTGAACTTTATACAATGAAGCGACTACGTCTTTCACACGAAGTACTCTCCTGCCATATTTGACGAAAAAAGAGATTAAGTTGCCTGCAGTGAGCAAATACATTTCGACAAATATCACGGTTGTCACTTTTTTTTTATACTCAAGCTAGCAACTAGCAAACGAGCATCTGAAGTTGGTGTTCTCTTGAACACGATGGCTCATGACGTGTCTCTTAATGATATCTTTCCGTACTTCCATTTGTTCGCATAACGCGAGCCATTCGAGATACGAAATTATCTGCGACCTCGAAGTTATGAGTGTCAACAGTGACGTAGGAGCTACGTCGATAAGCGATGACTGTTTGTTTGACGGAAGATATTTTGTCTCGGTCTCGTTCATTACCACAACCATTCCCATCGCTGAATAAAGAAGTCTGAAGAAAGCAGAAATCACGGCAAGGTTTCTGAGGGTAACGAGACCAATGTCATCGACGTACGCCAGCAGCTGTACACTCTTATAGAAGATTGTATCTTCTCTATTAAGCTCTGCCGCTCCTATTTTTTTCTCCAGCATCGAATTAAAGAAGTCACAAGATAAAGATCCCAACCGATCCTCTCCCGGATAAGCTCTCGCTCAAAAGCTATATAACGGTAATTCTGATGGTATGAAAATATTTTTTGGAAGTCAAAAAAAAATTTAAACACTTAAGTTTGTCAGCTTAGAATTCTCATAATTTTGACTATTTTTTAAATTATCAACCCGCGAATACCGAGTTGGTACGTGCTCCCACGCTCAGCCAACGATAGAGCGAGTCGAGTCCTGCCGCTATGCAACTGTCACGAAATGCGAAAAAAAAACTGCGCGATGACAACAATGATCAAGTGTCACCTGAGCAGCTGCTTCTGCATGCTCATATACACACACCCACACACACACACACGCATACACATACACAAAGGTAAGCAGTTGAAGAAATGCTAGACGAATGTGAAATTACACCGTTATATCTCACAAATATATGACAAGCTGCCACAATAAATTTACAAGAATAATAGAAACAAATTGTTAAAGAAAATGTGGGCACCAGGATACATATTCGTCGTACTTATATACATACATACAGTTACTTGACTCTGCTATGTAAGTATGTATTGACATATGTACACATATATATATACAAATGTGCTCCCACTATGTATTTCGCAGGATAAGGGAATCCACCTGTTGAGTGTGTTTCGCAGGATATGTGCCAAGCGACGCAGCATTGCATTGAGCTGTGGTGTGGCGACATCGGAAACGAAAGCTAGATAAAGTTCCAAAATACCTGCGAGGACTTAACTAGTTGTTGGAGTTGTGTTTGTGCATGCTTTAGTTCATAAATCATAACATAAGAAAGCCGTAGACATAAAGACGACAGTTTCTAAGCGCGACTGCACTCATTTCCTCAGACGTGCATACAATTTTTTCTATATACATTTGTATGAGTATGTAAATATTATATGGTCTTAAAGGTAAAGATACCTTGGAGCATACATAAATATATACGAGTATACGGCATCGTTTGCGTACATACATACAAACTCGTGAGTATGTTTTTAAGGCATATAAAATTACACGCTCGCATGTGCAAATTGCTTCGCTGCGAATTGACAACGCAACGAATACACCTTCGCCCGCAACTGATGGCGCTTAAATAATACTTAGAAATAAATGAGATTAAATGAAAATGAATGGGCGAGACACTGCACTCCCGCGAGCAGAGTTTCAAAGGTAGCGGCATGGATCTGGGTAAAAATTGAATGGCTTGCCCATGATTTTATCGATATTTTCGACAATTGGCCTCGCTTTTACATCGAAATAACCGAAATGAAACCAAAATTTACTATAGCAGTAGCAGGATCATAAACGCCAATCACATTTTCAGCCGCCTGGCTTGCGCTTACGCTCTTATCGAAGAGAGCCTGTGAAATATAGCGGATTTTCTCCTTACTAGTGTCCATCTTTGACGCACGCTCGAACAAAGCTGAATCGACCAATCACAAAACTGTCAGAGAAGGCTTCTTAGTACGAAATGTCAACTTTCTAACGCCATCTAGCGGATCCCGATCGGTCTTATATAACGAGAGATACAGATATATAACTCCTCCTGTTGGAAAATAATGGACTTTCTTTTACTACAATGGGGTGTGGTCAAGCTTCTGGGAATGCTGTTACAGTTGCGAGGCTATACTCAATTCCTACTCTTGCGTCCACGCCGCGCACCCTGGAAACGTGAGCAACCCTTGTGCAAAATGCGTTAACCAACCCGTGTGGAGCCTCGGGTCATGGCGGTCACATGAGAGAGGAAGCTTCAGTGCAGCCACTTCGTCTAATTCGGTTTAAGGGTCTGCTGAATTCTAATTGTAGCGTCTGTTAACCAGAGGTGCGGCTGCGAGCGGGCGTCGGTCTTGAAGCAAGCGGCTCGCTTTATTAATGTGTAAAAAAAAACTTTAAACTTACTCGCCTAGCGAGGTTGTGCGCTGGGCTTGAGATCCGTCACGTAGAAACCAGCTCCAATGAACATTTTGGCAACGCCTCGGATGAGACCGTAGTCGAGAGAAGGATGAGCTGTACGAGTTATATGGCGATATTGATATAGTTCAGCGAATCAAGAAGCAGCGGCTACGCCGGCTAGATCATGTGGTCCGGCTGGATAAGAATACTCCAACTTTGAAAGTTTTCGATGCAGTACCCGCCGTTGGAAGCACAGGAAGAGGAAGACCTCCACTAGATTGGAAAGACCAGGTAGAGAAGGACCTGGCTGTACTTGGTATTTCCAATTGGCGCCAAACAGCAAAAAGAAGAAACGAATGGCGCAATGTTGTTAAATCGGCCAAAATCGCGCAGGCGGTGTCTGCGCCAGTAAAGTAAGTAAGTTTTACTACAACTTGGTGTGAAAGGATCGAGTCAAATAAGGATTTCATACATTTTTCAGAATTTTACGAGTTTTTCTTTTGAAAAATTATCCTGTAGCTCTTAAAAAATCACCCTTTACTACATATAGACGCAGAAGAAGGCGGGGTTTAAGTTCTTCGCAGTATGCCCTCGTCTCGAAACCTAACATTGGGTGGATATAGTCTGATCTACTTAAAAGTGTTGTGAGCTGAATTAGTATATCGTTATATATATATGTGTAAATTGTTTCTGGTCCCAACCACCCTACTCCGCATGTCCATTACCAGAACCTGCCGCAAGATATTTTGTCAACCTAGTTGTTACGGACTTCAGTTGTAACCTTGAATCGATCGAAAAGTGACCTTTTCACTAAAGAAACAAAGCGATCAAGCTCAGTTGGGAAATTTTCAATATTTGTCTACAACAAAAATACTCAGAATTGCATAATAACATACTTACATACACATAAAATATATTTATAATAAAAATATAAGCAACAAAAGAAATTATTACACATACAACAAAGAGTGTTGATTCGAAAGCACAAAATTATTTGTTGGCTTTTGGTCTCTCTTTAGTTAGGAACTCCTACTCAGATACCTACATACACGTATGTATGTGCAGACGAAATGCAATAGCTTGTAAATCTATTATTACACTTAACTGTTATTTTTAAGAAAACATTCACTTTTTTGGTTAAGCTGTAAAATTTACCGTTATCATTGCTTTTTTAAATATTATATGTGGCATCTCAGCATGCGTATATATGTATGTATGTCTGTACGAGCATAACTCATTTGAGCGTTGCTCATTTTCACATTGCATTGTTGGTTGGCCTTAGACGTTTATATGTACACACGAATAATGTACATATGCATGTTTGTATGAATATTTGTCTCAAAAGTAAACGCACCTTTTCTTTCAACAATGCGTCGTGACCGTTGGTCGGCTTTCCAAGCAAATATCATTGTATTTAAGTATTTTATGCATTTGCATGTGTACGCTGCTTATTTACATACATAAATACCTACATACATACCTAAATATTGTTACATTTTATGTCGAAAAATTTTAAACTTCATTACAGAGTTTAACAAAGTGGATTGAAATGTTAATTTTCTATTATTTACGAGCAAATATCTAAGTTTGTAGACATGTCTCGTACATCTGTGGCAGTAAGTTGACTAGCTCTCACACAAACATACCACACGGTGTGTCCTAAAAATAACCGCACTTTATATTTATATCATACAACATACAGCGCCATCTATTGAAAATTTGCAACATTAAAAAGATACATTCATACTCTTTCAAACGCACCTAACTTCATGTAAGTCGGATGACAGATGTAAAAGTGACAGCCATTTCAATAAAACCAAAAGTGTGCGAATGGTTCAAAAATAAAATGGAACAAAGAGCAAACATAAAATTTTGTGTCAAACTTGAAAAAAAAATTAATGAAAAAAGTTTATTGTGATGATTGTATGAGTCGAACGCAAGTTTATACGTGGTTTACACGATTTAAAAATGGTTGTGAGGATTTAAATGACGACACAAGAGCAGGACGTCCAGAAACTAGTAATCGTGCTGAACTGATGGAAAAAGTCCGTGAAATCATTGGTATCGATGGAAATTTTACTACGAGAATGTTGGCTGATGAATTGAATACGAGTAAAAACACTATTTGGAGAATTTCAACTGAAGATTTGGGGAAAAGAAAGGTCTGTGCGAGATTTGTTTCACATGAATTAAATGACGACCAAAAAATCGCTCGAATTTTCAAGGAAAAAAGGGATTTCTCTCATCGATCATCCTCCGTATTCGCCTGATCTATCACCATGTGACTAGTTTTTATTTCCAAAACTGAAAACCAAGATGAACGGAGCATTTTATGATAATATCCCAGCCATTCAAGCAGCCGTAACCGAGGTACTGAAGAACATTTCTATAAATGACATAAAAAATCGATGCATGCGCTGGTTGATCGTTCCAAACGTTGTGTTGAGTCAAATGAAATTTTGAAAATTTGAATAAATAATAACTTTCAAAGATCATATAATGTGTATTTTATTTTATATTCAAGAAGTTCGGTTATTTTTGGGACACACCGTGTATGTACATACGTACAAATGGCCACGCTCTATGAAGCTATTGGATTTTACCTGAGTTAAATTTCATTTTTAAAACGTGCAAACGAGACTGACTTGCGATTTAAGTGACCACTGCACAATTAGAGCGCAAATGATGTCTTCAGTGAGACAATAAAAGTAGTAACACATACATAAAAACATAAATATTTTTATGTATGTATATTTTTATGTATGTATATGTCGTAAGTTTATAAGTTTCCGTTACTGCAACTGTCTCAGCTTTTTGTTGTTAAAAACTACTTTTCATAAGTGTCTTTTGTTTTTGTTTTTATAGTTGCTGTTGCTGTATGATGCTTATCAACAGGTGTCGAGTGACGTTTTTCAAATTTTTTCTACCTAACGTTTTAGCACAATGTACCCAAAGAAATGAAAAGTTTTAATTTTTTGACATTGAGATTTTCTACTTGAAGAAATAAAATTTAATGTGTTTCAAAATTGTCTCTCACACAGGTGCAAGCTGGCAAAGTGCTGTATTTAGTATATTCATATATGTACATACATACGAGTTTATGTAATTGCTGCTTTGTAACCGCTAAAGCGATTCTCGACCGAGACTTTCCACCAATTTCTAATATAAGTCTTGAAGTTACCCCAACAAAAGGAGGACCCTACAGCTTATTCTAAGCTACCTCCCAAGAGTTGCTTGGTTTTTATGGAGAGCTTCTATTTCATGTTATAAAAAATCTCGAAGTTACCTGCCGAGGGCGGAACGCAATTTGGACAAGAAAGAAGAGAACATCTTTATGCATGACCATATCAAATTAACGATATTTATTTTAAGGATTTAATATTAATTCTCATATCTGTAAAATTAGTTAGAAGAGGCTATCAGATGAAATTTTCTGATTTCGATGAGTTTCGGTGGCAATGTTTATTTGTAATTACGAATGTAGAATATCATTTTCGGTACTCTTAGATGCTTTTTGACGCAGTTTTGAACCAAAAACTAATTTCTAAACAAGTCGGTGGTATGAAAGCTATGTGCTATAGTCATCCGATTTTGATAGTTTTCAGCACCAATGGTATTATTCATCGTATGCAGGTAGATTACTTTTTCGACAATTTATGACCCAAAATCTCAAATCTGGAAAACGATCGTATTTATTGCACATTAAAACCAGAAAGTTTCCATAAACTACTTTTTTCGACATTCACAGTTTGATTCATCATAAATTCGTTCCAACAGGACAAACATTCAATGAAGCGAATTATTTGAGCGTTTTTTAGGCGTTTGCGCGAAAACATCCGAGATAAATGGCTGGTATTGTGCTCCGAAAATTTCCGCAAACTTTCACGACGACAAGCGCCATCAGACCGAGCTGCAGTCGTGAACGATTTCAAGGCCAAAAACTCGTTCAATACCATCGATCAATCTCCGTCTTAACCAGATTTCATTCCATTTGGCTCCTTTTGTTTCCAAAACTCAAGTTATCCCGTTGCAACTGAATGATACCGTAAAAGACAATTCGCAGAGGGAATTGAGATCGATTGATTTCAACAACTGCAAGCAAATTTGTGTGACAGATCGTGCTCATTTTTGGCATATTAATTAAGGATAGTGCTATCAACGTAACCAAAAAAAAAGTCCTGAAAAATATTCAGCTTAGACAATTTGAATGACAATTTCCGGTAACTTTCAGGTCTTAAAGTACATATAATATGCTATAGTGGTTCGATCTGGCCGGTACACAGAAATGATCGTCTAAATGTACTAGTTTACTGGTTGAAATATCTCCCGAACTGCGATACAAGACGGACATTGCTCAACTTATTATTTGGTATAGATTTTGGTGGGTCTATATCCCCTTCTTCTGGTACTAACATAAATCGGATCAAAATTAATATAAAATTATATGTACATAAAAGGTATGTTGCAAAAATACATTTTTTATTCTGTAATTCTGGCGAAGATTCGGTTCTATGCGGTTTGGTTACACGAACTAGTTAAAAACCACTTTAAAAATGTATAGTCTGTCAAGCAAGCTAACTACTGTGGCAAATGTTTTTCCATGCAAGTAACTAATGGTTTTACCATGGATGAGAGTTGGTAACTAGACTCATGCTACTTCAAGCGTGAAAAAACTGTTTGTCCAGTTTGAGCCAAAATAATAATATAAAGTAAGAATAAGCCGTACGCTCGACCTACTTTTCTACACCCAATTTTGTGAATTTTTAAATTTTGATTTTATTTTTAAGCGTAATGGATATCAAGAAGAATAATTTTTTAGATCACATACAGATTTTATCAATTTGATTGCATGTCAGCTATGTAAATAGACTTATATATGTTAGACATGCCCGATCGCAGCCTAGAAAATAATTTGTATAACATGGTAATATAATACAATCCAACTCAGTTAAGCAACTCGAGGTAATCCGAGAGAAAGCAGGGCCAGTAGTGCGAATTTGGACTACCAACAGAAAGCTATTGATATATCATAGATTTACGACCTTTACACAAATTTCGTATGACCCCTGCTAACATACGGAGTACTGGTGTGATGGGCGACCTTAAAAAAGAAGTGCAGCAATAAACCTTCGGAACAGTTTTAATAGAGATCAATTAATGAAGCCTAATCCTTTAACTTTATAATGGATCAAAACTATTTCATCTGAGCCTCAAATGACCGTGCCTTGAGTTTCTCAGCTGTCTGAGACACCTTAAACGCCTAGGTAGATGCTGTATTCTTTTTTATGTCAATGCTTAAATTCTTGTTTCCACTAAGGTTCATAGTTTGGTCTCCTGTCACAATTCCACTCAAAACACTCTCCTTCTGGCCATTACAGAGGTCCAAGCACGAACACTCTTCCGCTGACCTTACTTTTGTCAAGCTTATCGTGAGGAATTTCAAAAATTGTGGTATTGGATACTGTAACCATTTCCTCGAGATATTTTTTCCTTGAAAGTAATTTCTTTCTTGTCTCCTTTTGTGTTTAAATAACCTGTGGCGCTTTTACATCATAGTTTTTCCGCGGACAAGAGTCGCTGTAAACCAATGGCATCTCATTCATTATGGTCGCAACTGATTTTTCTTGCTTGCTAAGGAACTTTATAACGGCTTGGCTGACGGTAGCTCAACGACTAATTGTCTAATAATAATAAAAGCCTATAAAAATAAATATAATCATGACTCACGAAAAAAGTTGCGAACCCATTGAGCCTTATCATCCATTAAAACCCTCTAACAATAACCGACTGGCTAAAAGTTCATGTTATGAGATATGAGACTCAAAGTCTTGTCTCGCTGTGAGAATTTTTTTTAAAAACATAAGTCAGCTGGTATGCAACTGGTATGCAACTGGTATGAAACAGATGCGTAATAGGCTAATAGATATTTCGCTGGACATTTCGTAACTGGCATAAATCCCTAGTTGTGGGCGGTAAGTTATTGCCACATAAGAAAATTCACTCATTTTCCATACAATTTCTACAAGAATGAGAGCAAACTGAATAAAAATTTGAATATTGTTATTATTTTCGGATCACCGCACTGAGTGTACTTCGATGTGGCTTTTAACGAATTTGTTGCTAATCAGTGACCTGTAGGCCCCACATAAATATGACTAAATTTTTTGTTTCGAAGTCTTTTCTATCTAATAAAAAAAATATTTGAGTTTTTTCCTTCTTTCATACATGACGTATGTAGTGTTTCCGATGGTTTCAAAGATGTAGTAAAATTAAAAAACAACTCAAAAATCACCTTTTTTTCAAATATTCAATGCCGACGCAAATATTTTCACCGGAATAAGTGCAAAAATAATAAGAACAGCTGGAACTGACAAAGACACGCACGTCAGCCGATCGAACGTCAGAACTTTAAGTGCGAAGAATTGTTTGCAGAAGAAACGAGTGGCACCAACTCTCACTCAATCATTTTAGCTGGTCGACTTTCGAGCCAAAAAAATAACACTTTAAGTTTACAATACTTTTTTTTATGTTTTTTTTTTGTTTTGTTCAACCGTTCAGCTGTTGAAACCCCTTCGAATTACCGTTTCCGCTTCCGTTAATAAACAGAAAAATTGCAGTCTTCCGTTTCAACACCAACACAAGAACCGCGAATGCACCTGTCGCCGACGGAGTCGATTGTGATTGATGGATGCCACAAATAGTAACTAGTCTATGTTCTTATTCTTATTATGCGCCATCCAACACCGCTATGTTCGTTTTTCCGCTTTGAGACACTTGTTGCCCGCTGAATGAGCTCGAGACTTCTGTGACTTGTGGCGTTCACGCGTCCTGTTTTATATTTGAAAAACAAATGGCAACAGCAAAATAGTAGCTAACACTAGCACAGGCGCAAGTGTGGACTCACAGATGTATGTGGGCTACAAACATACATACGAGTATCTACCTAAGCGCCTTTAGAGTAGAACAAAGCAGTGTTTATCTACAGGAGACAACCAAACAAAGCCACAAACACAGTGAATACCGAAGGCAACAACTTTTCCCCATCCTTGCTGTGTGTATGTGTAAGTGTGTGCCTGAGTTGTATTGGAGGGAATGTTTGTTGCTGGCGTATGTGTGTACCGGAAACAACGAATGGGAAACTGTTTCAGCAACATTGCAATGTTGCTTGGCATTGTATCCAAAGGACGTGGTCAACTTTACACAGCCGAGGAAAGCTGAGATATTTTTTTGTGTGTTTGTGACTAACAGAAATTTGTATTGCTCTTCGTAAGCTCGGATATTTACTTTCTTACTTTTCTACAGGTGTTGCCAAAATTCTTTATATCCGTATGACCGAAAACGTATGCATGTGAATACACGCAAATAATGATTTAAGACGCATTATGACGTCTGTAAAGCTGAAGGTATTTTGGTGTTTCGAATTGCAGACATTTTTCTTCATTAGCAAAATCAGAGCGGGGAAAGTGGAGGAGTTATCTATGACTAGTTTTATTGAGGTTAATGTTAACCAAAGAATCCGACTCCAAACTGAAAGAGAGAGAGAGAGAGACAGAGAGAGAGAGAAAGAGAGAGAGAGAGACAGCTGAAGTGGTAATAAAGAGTTGATTTTTGGAAGGAAAGATTCCCCAAAGTAGAAGGTTGAGCGCGAAATGTGTCGAATTGCGATAGCACAAACATACCTTAAGGGTTGACTCTTGGAGGAATGTTCAACCTAAGAGCCAATAAGAGCTATCTTCTATCGGCATAAGAGTAATAAACATATTTCGTTACCACTGAAAACTTTAGAAATGCTCATTGATCCGTATATAAGAAACATGATCCCTTCAAGTTACCAGTTCTTTGACTATTGTAAAAGAAGATCGACAGACAGCGCTTTTCATACTGCATCTTGAAGCGTAAGGCAAAGGTGTATGGCACTGGAGCCTGTCTCGTTCAATACAACATCTTATCGTAGGAGGTAATAGATTCCGAAAAAGAGCTGCAGATCGAACAGCTCCTCTCTGCGGCACACCTCTCTTAGCTGACTAAAGTAGCACCCACATGGTGGTGTTCTCTCTTCTCTACACTGCAAGCTGGTCATCACGAGCTCCTGGGTAAACTTGAGTAGTGCAAATAAAGGGAGGTTGCGTACACGGTCATCAATATAATTGTCACCTTATAAGTGTTGAAGTGATTCTCGTCTGAGCTACCCCTTTATTTTTTTGTGCCTCTTGATTTTTATCCAGCAAATGAGGACTCTGTATTTTTTTTTCTAAGCTGTCTCCAAACTGCTGAGGAGTTTTTGGGATGTGCTTTTTTATTTTATGTCAGAAATACAATCATAACCCTTCTGCATTCCCTAATGAAAAACTTCTTCTGAACTTCTTCTGAGTAGTCTTTAGGACGTAATCCAGGGACAGCGGAATCCGGTGTCGGTTATGGCGATCCCAAACTAACTCCCCCCGTATCCCAACTATGAGTTTTTGTTTATTTCCAGCTGTCAAGTCAGTTTTCCGAAGGTCATCTTCAACAAAAAAATGTATTGGAGGAGAGAACTAAAAGTGGTGAGCTTTATATTTTATTAGACGTCCAATAAACCGGCTTGATGAAAAATAATGAAATAACCTAGCTAACTTAACCCAACTAGCTAAACTCGGTGAAAATGTGAGCTTAAGAATCCACTCTCCGATGCTCTCAATAAATATGACCTTGAGATTATCGGAGCACGCCAATTTTTTCCAATCATAACTCTATGGAATCATGAAAGCCGTCAAGTGCCTGATCAAATCCAAGTAAGGTAACAGGACAATCAGCTTAGATATATTCCGCCAATCAAGCTGGCATAAGATCTCTACAATTTAAAAATATTCGATTAAATGCAACACAGCCGTGGTCTGAATGCTCAGACACAAGGAAATCTAAGGCAGCTCACTTCAGAGGAACCTTGCGATAGTAGAAACCCTTCGATCTACGAGATACCATGCACACGATGCAGATGTACATTCGGTCCAGGCAAAGTTTATGCTAAAACTGGCTTTTGCAGAAAAGGCAAACATAAGAACCCCGAACGAGAACTCGTGCTACGTGGCATCTTATCTTTCTAGATCGATTCTCCATTAGCATAATGACAGGCGAAATAACAGGGCACTATGTAAAGGGGTTTCACCGGAAAATAATGGGTTAAAAAGTTCTCGGTAAAAACTTCTGTCACTTGACTGTCTCGCTAACCAGCTTCAGCAAAAATCCTGTGGTAATCTCGTTGCTTTTATAAGATACACGATATGGCTCAAACAATTAAGAAGATGAAGAAGGGAGCCTCATAGCGACATCACAACTCTCCGGTAGCAATGTTTTCAGGTGCAGATCACAGCAACAGAAATTTAGTCTCCGGTATTGGGTGCCGGCTTCTCTAAATCCGATCTCTTTTTAATGTTCGTCAACAACAAAAGTTTCTTCTCTTTACAACCGAAGCAACAGAAAACTGAACGCTCTGAAATTTTAGAATGTGAGCGCCGCTCATTGGCTTTTTTGCAACATTTTGTCGCCGCAATGGTAGAACGTTTAATTTTAATAAAGAGCAATTAGTACGCCCACTTTTCAATTTGTGCTCAATACGCCCATGAAAGAAAGTGCTTGCGTAGAAAAGTAAAATGAGTCCACTGAAGATGTTGCCACAAATTAGCGATAGAATGGCCAATTGGCGGTACTTGAAGGGGCTGGCTCCTAACCACCGCTTCCTATGTACTTATGTTTGTGTGTATTTGTATGTATGGAGTTTGTGGTTAACTGTCCTAAGACACTTTCGCAAACTACTTTTTGATTTTGCTTTTTTCAGAATATTTAAAAGATTTTTCTTCTTTCTCATCTTTCTTGTTGTTTTTGTTTTGTTTTGATTTTTATAGTCATGTAACCGAATACTTTTCGTCGCCGTCTGTTAGAGCGTATGCTACACCGTTATTAGTTTACTCGCCCGTCAGCGCGTCGTCAGCATTTGATGCTTTTGAGTTTGCTTATATTAAAAGGCATAACGGTACTCTTGCGGTATTTTTCCAAGCAAATAAAGCGCGGTTAAGTGTAATTAAAAAAATGCACGTGCCAAAGAATAAAAACATTACTTGGTTGGTTATTAGGTTGAAGGGAGGAGGTTAAGCACCTGACCGCGGGCGAACGTATTTGAGTAGGCTTATTGTGCTCCCCTTCTTATCCCAATTATGCTTCTTCGTACAATTCGCTCGATTTGTTTGTTCAGTCTCTTCCCCTCTTGCGCATCCCTCTCCAAAAGGCTGGAGCTCGGAACACCGTGGAAGAATTCATTCCATCGTGTGCAGGCTCTCCAGTCTGTCGATGCTACCTCCTACCTAACTTTTCTAGATGATACCTTAGCGATATATGCTCTGTCAGTCCACCTAGAATAATGCTTATTGCTATTTTGTTTAGTGCTAGCAAAAGTTTGGTTGGTCTGCGTTGTTTTGTAGTTCGCCGTACGTTGAAATTGCTCCAGGAACTTAAGTGTTCAACTAAGCTCGACTATTTCAAACAACCTAAAGTGGCTGAAAGGTTTGAAGCAGTCGATGATGACAGTATCGCCAGCGCGAACCAACTCATCAACCTTTTCAGTACTTTCTACAATCGTGGGCCCTGGACCCAAGTGATATTCACTGTGTTAGTCTGTTTATCGCTCCTTTCCATGTTCTCATACCTGTAGACTCTGTGTTGACACATGTAATTGCCTTCATTCCCACTTCGATGACCTCAAGAAATCTGACAGATTACACTGTTAATGCAGTTGATCTACACATTTGGCGCCAATTCAGCCGAACTCTTTTGGCTGCCCGGGGTATTCTTATGTGCGGGCTGCCATTTGTTCGAGAATTTGTCTAAATATTTAGCGCAACTTTTGACATGAAAAAGTTCCACTGTAGTGGTCTAATGTCAGTTTCACTCTCAGAGTATATACTAATGGATTCGTTTGTGACCAGTGACTGTGGGTTCCGCTGACATGGTAATCCTTTGTTTATATCGATGGGAACGCTGGTGACTTACTTACTTACTTTACAGGCGTAGACACCGCTGACGGGATTATAGCCGATTTAGCAACATTACGCAATTTGTTTCTTTTTTTTGCTGTTTGGCGCCAATTGGAAATACCAAGTACAGTCAAGTCCTTCTCTATCAGGTCTTTCCAACGGTGCAAGACGAAAAACACGAGGGTCTTGTGGAGTTTGGTTTTCGTTCGTCAGGGGAGGACTTTACTTTCAATTGCCTACTCAGTCCAAAGTAGCACCTGTTGGCAGAAGTGATTCTGCCCTGGATTTAAAGGCTAGTAATAGAATCTATTGACAGAATCCGCAAATTCTCTGTGTCATTGAGTTAGTAAAGATGGCTATGTGTAGTTCCCAACTTGTGGAGTTTTTATGAAGGATTGAGTGGCGTTGAGTTGGATTGGGATTGGGTGAAGTCAACGGAATACCTTCCGGAAGGTGAACCTCTGCAGTCCGATGGGCTCTATCTAAAATTTAAAGTGATTCCATTGAGTAGCGGCACCAAACAATGAGACCTTTTAATATGAAGCCTGTCTGCCGCTGTATATATCCAATATCTTGAGGTGAATGCTTATCGCATAGGCAGAATAAAGTTTAAATACCTTATTTGCTTTTAACTTGTTGAGTTCTTCTATCATCCAGTTCGGTTAACTGCAATCATCAATACTAAAACAAAAATATTCGCCATAAGTCATAATGAAGCGCGACACATACTCTTCAAGGTCGCGCAAACCGCTGTGAATGCTAATTTATGTTAATTAAATTATTTCCCT